GCTCCTCTCTCTGATGTATAGCTTCCTTCATCCGTCTGTGCTCTTGGTGGCAGAGGCATTTTCCTACCCAAGTTCTTCCCTTGCCTTCAGATTCATCTTCCTACCGTCTTGCTTTCAGGGGTTTCATGTCTTCAAACCCATCCTGCTCCATCCCTTTCTCTCCACATAAGTAGCCTTGGCTCTCTTGCCATTGTCTTGTGACTTCCACATTATTCCCTTTATAGTCTTTGTACTGGAATTAACCTTTTAAAAAAGACTTCCCAGTAGTCATTGTGGTAGTGGATATCTGTACAGTCCTAACAGTCATAGACAAGAGAATCTCGAGTTTGAGGCCAGGCAGTTCTACATAATAAGGCCTGTCACAGGAGGAAGCACAACACACGAAACTTGTGTATATTCTTTTCAAAGTTGTTTCATTTTTATACATTTATTTATTTGTGTGTGTGTGTAGTGGGGGAGATCAGACAACTTGTGGAAATCAGTTCTCTCATGTGGGTTCCAGTATCTAACTCAGGTCATCATGCTTGGTGGCAAGTGCCCTTACTTAGTGAACCATCTTGCCAACCCCATAGTTATCACCCTCACTCATTATTTTCCATTTTTTTCCTTAACCAGATTCTGCCCCACCAGTTCATTGATACTGTGTTTGTAACAGCTTAGTTGGCAAAGTAGTGACCATTTTTAGCCCTTGTCTTTACTAACTTTTCTGTTAAATCTCTCTATCCAAGACATGTTCTTTCTCTCAACTTCAGACAGCATTTTGATTCCTGCTCTCCCAGAGTAATTCTATCTTCTTTCATGCCTTTTTAAATGACTTCTGTGGTAAGGCCAAATAATGCTACTGTCTATGTCAAAGTCCTAATCCCTGAAACCTGAGTTACTATATGTGGCAAAAGAGACTTTGTAGATGTGGTCAAGGTGAGAATCATGAGATGAAGATTCCTGGTTTTCTTTTCCACCAATGGGACCACCAATGGGACCAGGGGACCAGGTAAACCAGGCCCTGTATCCGGGCCTGCCTTCCAGTGCCTGGGGACTGCCAGAGAGCCTCTCCTCCAGCGGGAGCCACGTACCCCAGATTCCTGGTCTTTCTTCCACCAACGGACCAGGAGACCAGGACCAGTGCCTGCAGACCGTCAGTGAGAGTCTATGCACCCCAGATTCCTGGTCTTCTTCTCCACCCACAGGACCAGGACTAGGACGAAGAGGAGAACCACCAGAGTATTGGACTTGCTTGTACCCGCTGAAAGGGAACTCTGGTCCCCAAACCACCAGACTAGTAAGGGGCTCTTTCTGCACCCACTAGAAGAAGGGATGGGAAAAAGACAATACAAAAACACACTCAGCAACAGAAAAACAAATATGACACCACCAGATTCTAGAGACTCCATATCAGCAAGACTCCAACATTGCAATGCAAATGAAGCAGAAGAGAATGACCTTAAAAACAACTTCATGAAAATGATAGAGGCCCTAAAAGAAGATACAGGAAAATCCCTCAAAAAAATGGAAGAAAAAACAAACCAAAAAAATGCAAGAAATGGAAGAAAAAGCAAATCAAAAAATGCAAGAAGTGGAAGAAAAAACAAACCAGAAAATTTGAGAAATGAAAGAAAAAACAAACCAAAAAATGCAACAAATGGACGAAAAGACAAAGCAAAAATTGCAAGAAACAATTCAAACAGTGCAAGGGTTGAAAACTGAAATAGAGACAATTAAAAAAACACAATCTGAAGGAAAGCTGGAAATAGAAAAGCTGGGCAAACGGTCAGATACTACAGATGCAAGCATAACCAACAGAATACAAGATAAGGAAGAGAGAATCTCAGGTGTTGAAGATACACTAGGAGAAATTGATTCATCGACCAAAGAAAATCTTAAGTCCAACAAATCCCTAACACAAAACATCCAGGAAATATGGGACACCGTGAAAACACCAAACCTAAGAATAATAGGTGTAGAAGAAGGTGAAGAAAACCACCTCAAAGGGGCAGAAAATATATTCAACAAAATCATAGAAGAAAACTTCCCCAACCTAAAGAAAGACATGCCAATGAAGGTACAAGAGCTTACAGAACACCAAATAGAGTGGACCACAAAAAAAAGTCCCCTCACCGCATAATAATCAAGACTCCAAATATACAGAATAAAGAAAGAATATTAAGAGAATCATCAGATGAGAGACTAACCTGGGTGATCCAGATGTATCCAATGGAGTCCCAATAACGCTTCCTGTGAGAGGGACATGGCATTTATCAGAATTAGAAGAAAGTTATAAGACCATGGAGCAAAGCAAGAAAAGGTGATATGGTACAGGGCTGTGAACCAAGGAATGAAAGCAGCCTCAGATCTGGAAAGGGATTCCTATCACAAAGCTGCCTGTAGGAGCCAGCCTCCCCCAACACCTTGGTCTTACCTTCCAAGACACTTTGTGTACTTAGAACCTCAAGATCTCTAAGAGTATCTGCTTGCACTGCTCCAACCAGAGCATTTGTGGACATTTGGTGTAGCAGCAACAGGCCTCTAATACGTCTTTGAAATGTATCTCTGCCCCCAGCCTGTTTAAGATGGCAAAGATGATGGATGGTTTCTATAAGAAAGTTATTTTATTTAAAGACTTATTTTCTTAGGTGATGAGCAAAATGCCTTCAATCAGTTTCCAACCTTTTCTACCAGTCTTTTTATTGATGCTTTCCAAGAACTATCTGTGATGGATGTGTTATTTTTCTCATTGCTGTGACAAAACACCTGACCAGAAGCAATTTCAGGGAGGGAGGGTTTGTTTTGGCTACAGTGGAGGGCCTAACATTTCATCAGGATGGGGAAGGCACTGCTGCAGAAGGGGAAGCAGCTGGTCATATTACATCCACATATTACATCAAATGATGAACAGGAAATGGGACTGGGTTACAAAACCTCACAGCCCACCCCTAACAAAACACTTCCTCCATCAGTGCTCCACCTCCAGAATTTTCCACAACCTCAACAAACAGTGCCACCAGTTGGGGACCAAGTGTTCAAACACATGTGCCTGAAGGAGACAGTTCATATTCTAATTATGGCAGTATATAAAGAATGTATAGGTATGCTAGGTTTGGTCCTCAGGGTAACTCATGAGGGTCTATTCTCATTTAACATGAATGAAGCCTTATCTTAAATATGAATGAATGCTTCTAAGTTTCATTTCTAAAATTATTCTATCCCTTGAAAAAGTAGTTTAGTGAGTTTCTTCTAGGTTCTGGGAAATAAAGTCTCTGCCCTCTGAAAATTTACATTTAAATAAGAAGACAGATGAGCTAGTGAAATGAACTTGTGTTAGAGCACATGGCAAGGTGATGTTACTCTTGCTGTAGGGATGTCCAAGCAAAACAGCTCTCATTTCAAAGGGTTTAGACAACTGTTTATTCTGGAGCCAAATTTGAGTGATCTTTGCCTGGAATGATAGCCCCAAATACTGTGTTCCAATATGGAAATGGGCACATGAAGTTTTTATAGTTACAAAATAAAAGTAACAAATCAAGTACCTCTTCAGGTACACTGCAAAGCAGGGAAATCTCTGCTACAGGTCTCAGATGACATCTGATGACATTCTTAGCTTTTGGGTTTGTGGAGGCTAGTAGTTAATATAAAAAATGTCATGTGATAGTCACAAGGATTTTAGGGCAGACACAAAGGTGGGCAATGGATAGCTATTAAAGGGGCTAGATAGTCCAAGATAATTTGGCTCCGTATCTACAATTTTTACAATCCCCACAATCATGTAGTTGTAATTAGCCAATATCAACTTTGTAGAATCTTTACATAGCTGTGGCTGTTTGTCCTGAAATTTAAATCAGACATAGTTAGAGAATGCCTTCAAAAACTTTATTTTTCGAATATATGGGTTTAGTGGCAAGGAAATCAGCTTGACAGAACGATTCATCACTAATCTTTTTTCCATAGGGAACAATTCATTGATCACCTGGATCATACCAATCCAGTCTGGATTTTTTTTACATATGATGACTCATGATGTTCCTGCAACTATGCATATGGAAAAATGTACTCTTTTTTGTTTGTTTGTTTGGTTTGTTCTGTTTTTCGAGACAGGGTTTCTCTGTAGCTTTGGGGACTGCCCTGGAACTCACTCTGTGGCCAGGCTGGCCTCGAACTCACAGAGACCTGCCTGCCTCTGCCTCCCAAGTGCTGGGATTAAAGGCATGAGCCACCAACACCCAACCGGAAAAAATATTTTTAAGGAACCTTGCCTCTGTCCTAGGCCACCTCGCAGCCAGCCGGCACCGGTGACAATGTGCATCTATGGGGAAGGTGGCTCTGAGAGCATCTCTAAGTCTCCAGTGAGCCATGCTTTGGAATAAGGATCTGCAACACTGCCAGGTACGAGGCTTGGTGCAGCTCATCGTCCCTCGGAGGTCCAGGCTCTGAATCTCTCCACACCCAAAAGCGCGCTCAGCGGGTCCATAACTTTCTTTGCTCCAGAAAACCTTGAGGGAGCCCTCCCTATCTTCGCACCCCTAACCCTGCTCGCCCAGAGGTCAGTCAGCCCCTCAAGGCCCCGCCCCCTGACCTGACAGCTCGTGGAGCCCCGGAAGGCTGCCCCTGCCCTTGCCTGCTGGCACTCTAAGCCCATCCCCTCGAGGCCGGGTCCCCTGTGCTGATCCCGGAACGCAGATCCCCCTAGACGGCCCGACCCGTTTCCGACTGCGGAGCCCCCCGAGGATTCGCCTCACTGACAGCGTATGAAGCCCCAGCACACAGTCTGACGCCACTCTGAGCCTCTCAAGAAACCGCCTCCCGAGCCCGCACCGCTCTTCACTCTCGTGACGCCCGGAGCACCTGCCTGGACTGCCTCTGCAGCTCCGCCTCCGCCCCATCTACCATCAAGAGCAGAGCATCTCCAGCCTTCTTCTCCTGAGCTCAGCCCGGCCTCCGGCTCCGCCTTGTGGAACAGCTCGAGGCCCCGCCTTCCGAGCCCCGCCCCGCCCACGGCTATGCTCTGCTATGAAACAACCTCGAGGCCCCGCCTCCCAAGCTCCGCCCCGCCCACGGCTCTGCCTGGTGGTAGAGCTTCTCGAGGCCCCGCCTCCTGCTCTGACTGAGCTCAGAGCACCTGGCAGGCCTGCCCCGCCCGGCAACCCGCTAAGACAGCGCCCTTCGCACCTGGGGTCCCCCCCAGACTCCCTGGACTGGCTTCTGCGGTCGCCATGACCGCGGCCGTGTTCTTCGGTTGCGCCTTCATCGCCTTCGGGCCCGCGCTCGCTCTCTACATTTTCACCATCGCCACCGATCCTTTGCGCGTCATCTTCCTCATCGCCGGGTGAGACTGCCCCAAGTCCTTGACACAGCGGGTCTCCTCCCGCGCCGGGGCTCCCATGACCTCGGGGATCACCACCCCCAGTATCTCCAGCCTGTGGGACAGCGAGGGCTGAAAGGAGGGGAGGAGCCTGCCCCCCTGAGAGGGTCTGAGGAGAAGGGCAGGCTGAGCAGGCGCCCCTGCGGATCTAGGCTTCTGTGGGCTAAGTGTGGCAACACTGAGATACATTCGTGTGTGGAGCCTTCGTCTTCCCGTAGGAGACCCCATCTCCCCAGGTGCTCTGTGGCATCGAAGAGTCGTTCTCGTCTGTCATTAAAGTCACCTGGGGATCAGTGGCCCACTCAACCCCCATCCTGGGACTCAGAATGCCTGTGAGGGGTTTGGGCTCAGATTTTTCTTGTAGACCCTCGGGGTAATGGTTGGGGTGCAGCCGAGGGTGGAAGCCTGAGAAAACGCAGCAACACCTGAGCAGGCATGTCCTCCTGAGAGCTTGGTAAATACCGAACTCTGCTGGTGCATGTGGTCCTGGTCTCTGCACTTGCTGAGACAGTTTCTGGAACTTGGCATCAGACCAGGGACTCCTGCCTTTCTGGGCTGCTTTTTGTCTACTGAATCATGCTCCTTGCTATTATAATTTTAAAAACAATAGAGTCTGTTGACACAAAGGCTTATGAAGCTTGCTGTCAAACTAAAATCTACAGGGGGGTTGTAAGAACCGGGCCTGGAAAACACCAGAGCACTAGTTTGCAACTTCAGAATTTTACATGACGCATGCTATTAATGCAAGTTTAGGTATTCATTTTCTGTCAGAAAAAGACACGTATCTTTACATATATCTAGCCATTAAATACATACTTTCTGACGAATTTTGAGGGTGTGAAAATTGCAATAGTCACTGGTTGTATATTTCTATGGCACACCAAAGAGGCAAAGCCTCTCTGAGAAAAAATAGTCAACAACCAAGTTCCTCTTAGCCAGTCCTTGGCAGGTAGTTAGTGTCTTAGTGTGCACATGACGGTCACTGAGCACGTTCTTGTTGAGCCAATGTGACATTTCTCCTGGACTATTTTCTCACTAGGAGAAAAATGGACCATTAATCAGTAACTGCTGATCCAGAACACCAACCACTTCAAAGAATTTTTCCCCAATTAAAAAATCAAGATCTTGGTTTCTTCTCTATCATATTTAAAGTCATTATTAGTCTCGTGCTTCTGTTAACTTGTGGCTTTTTCCTTCTACATTCCAGTGCTTTCTTCTGGCTGGTATCTCTTCTGCTTTCATCTGTTTTCTGGTACCTAGTGAGAGTCATTACTGACAACAGAGATGGACCTATACAGAAGTACCTACTTATCTTCGGAGTGTTGCTCTCTGTCTGTATCCAAGAACTGTTCAGGCTTGCATATTATAAACTGTTAAAGTAAGTTAAATGTTTGAACTTTATTTTCCCAGTTAGACTTGAGTTATGATTTGGTGATTGTTGCATTTCTAGCCTGGAAATATGGAGAATTTAAACTTATGACCTGGCTTGCCTACCTTCCCCTCATCCCCTTCCTTTTTCTTTCCCTCTTTTATCTCTTTCCTCCCAAAAATGTTTCTTGAGAATTTTCCCAATGCCAGATACCCAGCTATGCAGAAGATAACACCTTGAGCCCAGAACTTTGAAAGAAACAAAAAGTAACAGGGTTTCCTGTGTAACAGCCCTAACTCTCCTGGAACTCACTCTGTAGACCAGGCTGTCCTGTAACTCACAGAGATCTGCCTACTTCTGCCTCCTGAGTGCTGGAATTAAGGGAGTGCACCACCACCCAGCAACATTTAAGTTTTTACAGGGAGGACATCTTAAGATTTAACTTACTGTTTTATTTTAAAGTACTAGAGATTGAAGCCAGGACCTTGCACATGAAAAGCAAATAGTTCACACTCCCAACCCTCAGTCTACAATTTAACTTTTAACTATATTATTAGTAGGGTAATCAAAATGGTTCGATTACCTGTACCATGGTGATTGTCATAGGGTCTCTGTCAATCCTCAGCACTCCTCAGTTCTTCACAGGAACCTCCAAAGGCATGGTTGTAGCTTCTAAGCCTTTGTTTTCTGCCCTTGGCAGTGAACATGCCCCCTTTTGTCGGTGCCTGTTTTTCACCAAATGCTTATACTGCAGTGTGATCTTTGACCAGACATTGTTTTCTAAATAACTCAGTCTCATACTATACTAAATTGTCTATCACCATTGTCACTGGCTTCTGTTGCTTTTGCACTTTTAGATAATGGTTTTAATTTTGAAAAAAGAAACAGTTCCTAGTACAGCATTATAGTTTAATGACCTCTTACTTCTAGACCTGAATTCACCAAAGTGCCAAGATTTAGGTGTGGTACCTGCTGTTTTTCCCTGCTCATTTCTTCAGTTTTTCACTTAAAGCAACAACTTTTACTTGGCACTAATCAGAGTTTCCCAAAGACTACAAACTGAAAGTAGGTCCTCATTTTGAATGAGGGCAGTAAGAGAGTAGCACTATATGAAGAAGGAATCCTGACATTTTCTGCAGGCTATCAAGCTAGGAAGTTGAGAGAAACTTCTTTTGTTTCCTAGGGAAACTATTCTTGTTCTTCTTAAAGGATGTTTGGGAAATTTGCAAACAATTGATCAGAGAAACATGCATTAATAGATGCCTTTGTTTATATTGCAAAATTCATATTTAATAAGCTTTTGGCATATTCTACAAAAATTTTATATCAGGCCTGGTCTGTAATTCTAGTACTTGGGAAATAGGTCTGATAGAATCAGGAGTTCAAGGGTACCTTTAGTTACTTCCAAGTTAAAGCTTACCTGATTAACATGAGATCCTATGTCAAAAAAAACAAAAACATAAAATCCCCAAATGAACAAAGCCAAAATTCTCATATTCCTGGAGAATTTACCATTATTAGATGCTGTATAGCTGTGTTAAAGTAAGCTGAAGAATTTTGACAATGTTTGTAGCACTTTGTTAATAACTAACCTGTAAGTGGATACATTTAAATAAATTTCTTATGCAATAATGTATTAAAACAAAGATTTGTATTTAACCAAATTTTGCTTAAATATCCCACTGCCAAAAATAGGTTTTGCCAAATTTGAGCCTTTTAAGTTAATCAGACTTTTGCTGCCTGAATTTGCTTCCAAGATTAAAATGTTGAGCATTGTACCCATTTCTAAACCATTGCAGTCAAATTAAGTTTTTTTTCATGAGTCAGGAATAGTTAGTTCATCATGAATAGATTAATGAATGAATATTAATAGTGAGAACTACTAATGCTGCAACATTTCCTCTCATGAACTATGCAACACAGAATGTGGAAGTTTACCAAACTCTTAAATTAATATAGTCAGGATACATGAATGCTTTGTTTTTGTTTGTTTGGTGAGTGAATTGTAACTGTCAGCATGACAAGACCTTGTAGTGTGCGAAATTAGCATGTGATCATAAGTGGTGACTCTTCATACAAATGTTAAAACATTCTAAGTTATGTAGCCTAAGATATAACTGTTCACTACCTAAAACAGATGTCTTTGGTAACTGTTGTCTAAAATTTCTGTGTGGCGCCTAAAATTTATAGAATTATTTTTGGTGGATTAAAGGTTTTGTAACCTAATTCAGTTTTATTATTTTATAATTTATTATTTTAAAATAATTTCATAATTTTATTATAATACAAATACATATTTGGTGAGTTTAGAAAAATCTTACATTTATGGAAAAGAAAAAAAGCTAAAATAATCACTGCTATGGGTTTGTTTTCACCTCCACCACTGACCTTTACCCCTCACCCTTGCTACAATTTTTTTAAAGTCTACATTGGTATGAGCATGTTAGATCTGAAGCTGGATTTACAGACAGCTATGAGTTGCCATGTGGGGGGGGCTGGGAATTGAACCAGGGTCCTCCAGATCATTCAGTGCTCTTAACTGCTGAACCATTTTTCCAGCCCAGTATAGCTACAATTTTGGAGGCTTTTGTTTTGTTTTGCTTTGTTTTGTTTTTAACGAACTGTCAGTGTGTTTTTTAAATTTCCTAAAATAGGGGCTACAAGATGTAACTCAGCTGGAGTGTAGTTGCCTATCAAACAGGAAGTCCTGGGCTCCATCCCAGGACAGAGTAAAATAGGCATGGTGGTACATACCTGTAATCTTGGCTCATCATGATATTGAAGTCAGCCAGTTACATGAGACTGTCTCAAAAACCAAACAAACAAACAAAAAGAGAACTCCAAAAATCTTGAATACATGAATTCAGAAGTTGCCTAAACTTCCTCATTGTGTTACAGAGTTTGTGAGAGGAAATGTTGCAGCACTGACAGTTCACTGTTAACATTAGGAAGTGAGAAAGTACAAAATGTAATGAGTTTCCAAGTTCCCTGTTAACAGAATAGATGACTGTGCTAGGCAGGTTCCCTGTTAACAGAATAGATGACTGTGCTAGGCAGGATGCCTCTTCTGTTTACTGAAGCAGAAATTCTGTTACATTTGTTACCAGATTCCCAAGAACAAAAATTAAAAGTTCCAGTTTTTACAATATATGTTTTTCAAAACTATTGATAAATTATTTTCTTATCTATCTGCCTGCCTGCCTGCCTGCCTGCCTGCCTGCCTATCTATCTATCTATCTATCTATCTATCTATCTATCTATCTATCTATCTACCTACCTACCTACCTATCTACCTATCTACCTATCTATCTATTTATGCCAGGCCTGCCTTGAACTCAACTCACAGAAACATCTGCTTCTGTCTCTTGAGTGCTGGGATTAAAGGGTGCTCCACCACCTCTGGCTCCTTTATTATTTTTTGAGTGTACAGATGAGAGTGAGATTATAAATGGAAATACACCATTTGAGTTTTTCTGTGATTTTGTTTTTGCTTTGCTTTATTTTATTTTAAAACTTTGAAAGGTTTTTTTTTAAGTGGAGGTCTCGTGTATCCCCACATAGCTTCTGACTCAGTATGTAGTTGAGAATGACCTTGGACTTCTGATCTTGCTGTTATTTCTGACAAGGGTCACCATACCTAGAAACTTAGTATATTCCTGATTGCAGTGTCCAATAGAGAAAAACAACTTACACAAAGCAGAAATTCTCCCAGATTTATCCATTAAACTACATGGGTGTATTTGTTGCTGTACATTACTGCTGTTGTATAACTCATAAAGTTGAACTAATTAACACAATTCCTCTGGCAGGTAGGTTTGTTTTATTAAGGAAAATTATATAATTTAATTGGTTGGGTGTCAGAGAAATATGAAGACAGTCACATAAATATCTGGGTCACATCCTTCCAGCCAAACAGTGCTTCCAAATAGACAACTCTGAAATTCTAAATTGTTCCTTTTGATTCTAGAAAAGCAAAGGAGACTTTTCACTATTCATATGGATATTTTGTTTGAATTCTACATTACCAAATATAATCACTGACATTTATATTTGTTCAGTGAGTCTGTGTTTATGTAATAAATAAACCAACAATAATAACTATGTGTTCCTTGAGATATTAAATTTTATTTTTCATTGGTCTTTTAAGTAGAGTCTCACTGTATAACCCAGGGTGGCCTTGAACATGCAGTAGTCCTCCTACCTTAGCCTTCCAAGTGCTAAGATTGCAGAAATGAACCACTACACCTGGCTTCCCTGAAGTTTAAAATAATGCAATGTCTGGGCAATAAGTATGTTCTGGTTAACTTGTCTGCTCTTAGGGTTCATCTCACCTCCTTTTGTTTCAGCACTGGCTGACAGGTCATTCCAAAATATTTTGTTTCTTTTGTTACTTTAATAGATATACTTTACAGTATGGATAACTTCCTTTCAGTTGCTTTTTAAATGATTGCAGAGTTTCTGTCCACCAGGGATTAGTAATAAAGACAGTAGTATGACCAATCACACCTAACATTCCTAATATGCCTGCATGGCGATAAAGGAGTGGACAGAGGCAGATTCTTGGTATATTTGTGAACTGGCTATATGGATTGATTACTGAAAATATTTGTTTCTTCAGTTAAGTATTTATAGCCTATTCTAAAGGCAGCATTTCATACAGGATATTATAAAAATATCACACCTCATGTGCTCCTAAATTGGGAATGAGAGTCAAATATGTAAAATATTTTAGAATCAAAAGACCTTATGATTAAGTACAGGTATGAGAATTTGACTCCTCAGTATATCAGCAACTGCTATATAAATTGCTATGGGGAGGAATAGGAACAGTTGGGGACAGGCTGCAGGTGTCACTCAGTGATAGATCATGTTCTTTTTTTTTTTTTTTGGTTTTTCGAGACAGGGTTTCTCTGTGGCTTTGGAGGCTGTCCTGGAACTAGCTCTTGTAGACCAGGCTGGCCTCGAACTCACAGAGATCCACCTGCCTCTGCCTCCCGAGTGCTGGGATTAAAGGCGTGCGCCACCAACGCCCGGCAGATAGATCATGTTTTTACTATGTATGAGGCATGAGCTTAGTTACTACACCAAAAGAGAGAAAAAAAACTTGTTGTTGGAAGGGTGAGAATGATTTTGGTTCTTTGGAGTGGAATGTAGAATAGGGGTTGAGAGACTATAGGCATAGTGAAATATACAACAGAATGCCAGTAAATTGGAGATAAAGACCTAAGACTTTGGGAAGAAGAAAATTCAGAGTGGTAGATCCCTCAGGATAATGAGATAAATATTTATTGACCTCAGAAACTGAAATATTGCTATTATCCCCATTGAATTCAACCTCTATTGGCTTGTTATTAATATTTTTAACTTTTCCTTTTATGGAGATACCAACTAGATGATGTTGGTAGATATTTCATTTAACTTCAATTATCAAAAATGTGCTGGATTTCATTTAAATGTATTCTAGACTATAATCTGGAATGTAACCTGATCAGAAGCCTAGTTTTGAAGGGTACTGTGACCTGCCTGATGTATGACTTTTTCTTTAAAAATAAAATTTGAAAATATGTGTTTTTCTTTTAGAAAAGCCAGCGAGGGTTTGAAGAGCATAAACCCTGAGGAGACAGCACCCTCAATGAGACTGTTGGCCTATGGTAAGTCAGACCCTGAGGTGTCATAAGGAAAATCAATACAAGTGCTACAGAGGTGTGGCTCAGCAGTTAAGAGCACCTAGTGCTCTTGCAGAACCCAGATGATAGCTCACAACCACCTGCAACTCTAGTTCTGTGGAATCCAACACCTGCACAGCCTACTCATGGTACACATAAACTCAAGCAAGCAAGCGCGCACACACAGGCTCTAGGTCTCTATGTAGAATTAGCTCAGTCTGGCCTGGATTTCCACCTTGAAATCACAGTTACTCCCTTACAGTTTGGCTACAATAAACCAAAGCCAGGGCCTTCAGCACATTACCCTCTTCCTCTCTGGTTTCTTCTGTGCCTCTCCTTTGTTCATTGATCTACCTCCTGTACTTCCTTTTCTCCTCTCCTTTCTCACTCAGCCTTCCAAAGCTGACTGTCTGATGCTTCAGAAACAGCAGATGTAGCCTTTTCCCTGCAGTGAAATAGTGTCCCCCAGTCCTTGCAAATTAGATTTGAACTGAACTCATAACAGGAAAAGGGCTTAACAGTGTTTTTCTTCCTCTTTAGTTTCTGGCTTGGGCTTTGGAATCATGAGTGGAGTGTTTTCCTTTGTGAACACCCTGTCTGACTCCTTGGGGCCAGGCACAGTGGGCATCCATGGGGATTCTCCACAGTTCTTCCTTAATTCAGGTATGTATGTGCCATAGCTGTGGGTGTTCAGGGTCCTGCTCTAAAGGAGCATCCTTATTAGAATCCATTGTCTTCAGAATTCAAGTGAATTCTTTTAAAGGGAAGGTATTCCTTTTTAAAGGGAAGATGTTCCTAGGTTCTATAAGTGAAGGACCTGGGAGTGAAGGTAGGGGTTTGATTGGAGTACTTTAGAATATTTTAGGAATTTATCTTGTGTAAAATTTATTTATTTACCAAGCAGTGGTGGCACACACCTTTAATCATAGCATTCAAGAGGCAGAGACAGGCAAATCTCTGTGAGTTTGAGGTTGTCCTAGCCTATAGAGTGAGTTCCATGACAGCCTCCAAAGCTGCACAGAGAAAACCCTCTCTCAAAAAAACAAAACAAAACAAAACAAAAACCAACAACATCAAAACCCAAACAAACAAAGATGTATATATCTTTATTTGGCCACACTAAAATGTTACAGTATAGTTGAAATATTAGCAGCTAATTTTCAGGAGATACATCCTCTGTGATTTGTCATTGTATATTTATCTTCAATATAAACCTGTAAGGTCATACTTTTTTTTTTCTTGCCCAGTTCGTGCTAGGGATTCAATACAAAACCCCTAGTCCTAAGATCTAGTATTTGATTAGTCTATAACTCTGTGCCTTTTACAGGTAGACAGCATGATTTGATCTTTAAATTCAGAGAGAAAAGCAGTAGATGAATTAATCTTTTTTGCAAAGATGCAATTATAAAAAAACAACTTTTTCACATTGCTTTTTATTCACCAAATGCAAGTTATGCACAGTGTTCACAAGTTTGTTTCATAATTAGAATATTATTTTATTAATTTCACTTTTTTTAAAATAGAGGAAAATATGTTGTGTTTGTAGTTGTCTAGACCAACAGCAATTATGTCATTGAAATACATGAAGTCGCATACCCATTTTTTCAATTAAATGAATGTTCACATCCAGGCCAAAGCTCACCATGTTGTATGAGAAAATGACCTAATACTAAATAGTGTTTCAGTAGCTTTTAATAGAATAAAAAGGTTATAAAGATAAATGACCCATTTTTATAAGCTGGAGTAGTTTAGAGACACCATGGCAGTCCCTGAACCCAGAGACAGTCCTCCACTAGTCTCGGTTTCCTCGTTAGTTCACATCTTAGCCTTTCCTGTGGACGTCAGTGCAGTCAGCTTCTCAAGTGAATGCATCCTCTGTGAAGCCAGCAAGCTAGTCTTCCCTGTTTGAAAAGTCTTTGATTTCTGAGACCTATAGCATCCAGTTTAGACCCTTTAACTCTGACCATGAGATAAGGAAAAGTGAGTTAATGGATCGTGCTTCCTTATGTTGCCTCCAACACAGCAGATTGCCTTTGTGAATATTCCCAAACCGGGATATTCCTAGCATATTTTATGATTTATTGATTTTTATTTAGTAAGCATTAGTACTTTGTGTACACATATGTCTGTGTGAGGTTCTCAGATCCCCTAGAACTGGATTTACAGACAGTTGTGAGCCACTATGTAGGTGCTGGGAGTTGAACCCAGGTCCTCTGGAAGAGCTCTCAGTGCTCTTAACCACTGAGCCATCTCTCCAGACCCCAGGCATAAATTTTAAATGATAATAATACTTAATTTGTTAAAAAATGTAGTTTTGATGGCTAATATCTGTCAGAGTCCAATAGAAATTAAAAGGATACCTTTTGTATTGTGAATTTTCTTACAGTTTACACTGTTATAGTTGTTTTCTTCCTATCCTTGTATATTACTGGCTTTTGTCTCTAGATGGTGTTATCTCCCTTCAGTAAATCAGGCTGTTTTCAAGTCCAGTTTAAAATGACTCCCTGGAAGAGTAGATTTGTTCCTAAAATGGTAATTAGAATAAGGAACATGAGATCATTAATTAGAATCTATATCTATGTCTGTTATGTTAATAATGCACATATTGTATGATACCTGTATGTACATGATTTTTTGTTACAGACAGGCATAGTTTATGAAGTATACATGTAAGTTAGCCCTTTTATGGGTGGTTGTTGTGGAGCAGGCTAGCAGTATGTTAGACTCATTAATATTTCTTGGAAATGCTTGGTAGAGAAGAAAGTATGGGATTGAAGTTCCAAGTTCAAGTCAAATCCTAGCTCATTAATTTAATATTTGGGAACAAATCCTTTTAGTTATTTAATTATGTATTCTCTAAATAATTATTAAAGATTTCTCCATGCCTTCTTAATAAAAACAAACACAAAGATTAATATAAATGTTACAGAGAAGAGACATATGGTGACAGTAAATTTCTTTGCCTTTGTTATATTTACCCCTAGCTGTGAATGATTGATATGACTGTTGTTTAATGCCTTTATCTCTCCAGTTGTGTGCTAAACTATATGAGCAAGAGCTATGGCTACCTTATTCATTTCCATCCCCAGAGCCTCTTGGAGTCCTTTGTTACTAGATGCCAACTAAAAGTACTTACTGAAAAATAAAAGCTAGGTACAGCTTATGGAGCAAGTACCATTTGAATAGAAATTTACTTAAAGAGGAATAATACTTAGGCCAACAAAGGAAGGAGCTTCAGGAAAAGCTGTTCCAAGTAGAAGGAAGGGCCCTCTCCCCTGTGGGCCTCAATTTCAAATTCTTTCAGAAAGGACAGAACTAATGACCAAAAGCTGATCATGTTGGTGTATGCTTGTCCATCCCTGCACTCAGAAGGCAGAGGCATATACATATGCATGAGTGAGAGGCCACCCAGAGATAAATAGTGAGACACTGTCTAACGATAATAAAAATTGGCTGGGCATTGGTGCTGCATGCCTTTAATGTCAGCACTCAGGAGGTGAGGCAGGAGGATCTCTGAGTTTGAGACCAGCCTGATCTACAGAGAGAGTTCCAGGACAGCCTCCAAAGCAATACAGAGAAACCTTGTCTCGAAAAATTGAAAAAAATCACATATACATATAAAAATCACATATACATATAAAAATACATATAAAAATACATATAAAAATACACGTTTTAAACAAATACTTGTGTAAATTTCATACTGATCTCATGGCATACCTCAGGGAAACACCTTGAAAGCCAAACCCAAGTTGGATTTTGTCAAACAGGTTCATATTCTAGAGCAATAGCTTCTAGAAAGGCTGGACCTCCATCCCAAATATGCTTCTTCGAAAGTTAACATCAAGCCAGTTCTGTGCACTGGTGGTCAGACTCTATTACTGCAGCCAGGGGACTCTCAGAGCCAGTGCACAGTGATGGGGTTTTGCAAGCTTTGGTGACTGTTGTCTGCAGGAATAGCCAATAATTGCTGACTTGTCTTTTCAGCATTCATGACACTGGTTATCATACTGCTGCATGTGTTCTGGGGCATTGTGTTCTTTGATGGCTGTGAGAAGAAAAAGTGGTATGTCCTCCTTATAGTTCTCCTGACTCACCTGCTGGTGTCCACCCAGGTGAGTGTTGTCACTGAACTCTCAGTGTTTGCAGAGTTCAAGTGCAGAGGTCTGAGTTGTGGATTCCATCCAAATGAAGGACATGTTCATAGGGAAATGAGTGCAAGTCAGAGTAGCCCTGGATGTGAACAGTGAGTCATGTGTGTTTTAGTAGAGTGACAGTCTAGTTATTTCGGGAGTGGGGATCTGCCTCATTTTACCAGTCAAATAGAAATTGTTCTTTGTTCATCATAGCAGCTTTCAACATTTTATCAAACATTTATTTTTACTTATGTGTGCATGTGTGGGTCAATGTGTACATATATGCAAGTGTGTATAGGTACCCACTGAAGTCACAAGAGAGTATCAGAGCCCCTGAAGCTGGAGTTGTAGTCAGTTGTGAGTTTTCCTTATTGAGTGCTGGGAATCAAGTGCCAGGCTTCTCTAAGAGCAGCCGTTAAAAAGGGTTGACTGGTCCATCACATTCCTCCTTGACGTCTGCTAAAAACACTATCATGATTTTCTTTTACTTCATTCTTGACTCCTTTGCTGTCTCTTTGTTTTGCTTTTTTTGTATTCTTTTGTTTTGCTTTTCAAGCCAGTGTTTCTCTGTGCAGCCTTGGCAGTCTTGGAACTTGCACTGTTGACCAGGCTGGCCTTGAACTCACAGAGTTCTGCCTGCTCTCCTCCTGAGTGGCTGGGATTAAAGGCATGCATCACCATTGCCTGGCCATTGTTGACTCTTAGTCTGTCAGAGATTTAGAAAGGTGGCACTTATTCTTCCATTGTCTGAAGTAGCTCTTTGGGAACTCTCATCCATGGTGTGACATTAAGTTCCATGTGAAGACTGGGTTAGTGCCTTTCCTTTTCTTGGTCTGTCCTCTGAGTATTATACTCAGACATTCAAGTGCTTGTTTGACATCTGCCTTTTGAAATCTCATGGCCTGTAACTAAAAAACATATTTTTGGATATTATTTGTACCCATGCTTGCAAGCTTGTTCCTGCCTCTTCCTCCCAACCTCTTTCAAGGTTGATGCTCCTCAAGCCTTTGTATCCTTGGCAGCACATTTATCATCAGGCCAGAGATGTAAGAGTCAGTCTTGGCATCTGCCTCCCATTCACTCTGTCAACAAACCCTGTGAGCTCTCCCTGTCCACTGTCCAGCTCCACCACTACCTCCCTAAGTCACCACCCTATGTTCTCCTCACCCAGTGCAGTCTTCTATCTCATCCCCTCGATTCACCACAATCTCCTTTAATCCATTTTATACAGTTTGAAAAATCAAAATCAATCATTATTATCTCAGTTTAAGTCTTTTTACGACCCTGCATTTCCCAGAGAATAACACTCACATTGCTTATCTGCAGGCTTCGCTGTTGTCTGACCTCACCAGCTCCTCCATTCCTAAACTGTATTCATGCTGGCTGGTCTAGTTTTCATCAGTGTCCAGCTCTTTGTCCTCACCTGTGCTCCTCCCATGGCCAGGCTGCACAGAGCTAGTTCATTCCTCTTGCTATCTGTGTCGGGTTAAGTGCCATATTATCAGACCTCCATCACCCATAAGTAGATCACCTTGTTCTCTTCCTGGCATTAACCACATCTGTAGCTATTCTCTCTTACTATCCTTCATCAACTATTTATTTCATTATTTCTTCATTGTCTGTGCTACTTAGTAGTATTTAAGTCCCGTGATGGTGGAAACTTGTCTTCAGTAATTTCACTCGCTGCACCTTGTGTCACTCTGTCAGTCATACTTTGGTGCTGGGATCGAACCCAGAGCTTCATGCATAATGAACATGCACTCTACCACTGAGTGTGCTCCTGTTAGTGTTTTATGAGGATTAAAATTTTGGAATCCACCAAAAACTAATTCTGCTTTCTCATGTTCCTCTGAATACTAATGGCTCATATTAAAGCAATCTAGATATCCCTGACTTGGTTGCAAATTCTTCGAGCCAATTTAAATTAACCCAGAAATGGCTATAAACCAGGGCCAAGTGCTCCATGTGCTTTCTGGTAAGTATCCCATTAGGTTCTGGCTAACATCTTTCTTCTGGGGTTGCCATTTGTGTCGAGCAAAGTGCAAGTTCACAGACCAGTGTCTTCTGTGCCTTCCTGAGTCTTTAACACATGACAGTCATCTCGTGTCTGTAAGATGCAGTCCAGCTATTGAAAGCTGTGAGTTTCCCTCTATCTCTGTTTATTCCACAGGTTTCAAAAGCTGACTTATTTTTCCCTTGCAGACCTTCCTAAGTCCTTATTATGGAGCAAATCTGGTATCAGCATATATAATCATGGTGTTCATGGGCATCTGGGCATTTTTTGTTGCTGGAGGTAGCTGCCGAAGCCTGAAACTCTGCCTGCTCTGCCAAGACAAGGACTTTCTTCTTTACAACCAGCGCTCCAGATAACCTCCGACAGTCAGCACCTCCAGAATGCAACCTGTGACTTTAGAGGAAGCACAGCTGTGTCCTTCCCCAAAAAGACCCTTTGCTCCTGTAACTTAGATGCAACGGAACTGTCTAATCTGGAACTGTCCATGTGCTCTCATGCAGCAGCCTCTGGAAGAGCTGCAGTGTGGCCTTCAGCCTGGCTGCACATTTGAGTCACCTGGGGAAGTAAAGGCTGATGCTTCTAGGCTTCCCCTTCAGACGATTATCCTGGATGTGCAGTGCAGCTGAGAATCACTGAGGTCCAATGGGAAGTTCTGAGAACACCCAAAGAGAATGAGGTTTGGTATTTAACTGTCTCCTAAGCCAACTTTTGCTAAGCAAGTAAATTTCTGAATTAGTAACCTGGGTAGGCCTTGTCTTTTTATTTCCTAATGTCACCAAGGCTGAACGGCTGTTCTCTATGTGAATGGCTTTCATGGCCTTCACTAGCGCCATACGCTGTGCCTTTAAATGTAGTAACCTACACTCACATTATAACTTAGCTAAGGTAAGGTTTGTATATAACATGCATTTTCTTCAAGGTTTATTTCCATTTTAAGGTTTTCTTCCTGAGGCATTAAGTTACTCTTTTTAGTATAAATCCAGGCTCTTTAAGAGTGATTACATGCTGACTTCCTTGGAAGAGGCTAAAATTGTGCCAAGTCCATGAGCCTTCTCAGTTAAAAGCTGCAGTGTGTGCTGTCTGAAACTGGACTGGCCGAGGAAAAGCTCACCATTTGTATCTCTGGGAAGGCGGGCAGGGATATGAATGATGTATCCTCAGCAGAGCTTCTCTGGACCTTGTGAGAGCAGCTAAAAGCACAAAGTAGTGTGATGCTGGCACCTTTCATTTGCTCCTGTGTCACTAAACTGCACCATCACCCAAATGATACAAGGTGAAATTGGGGATGGACATTAAAGTGCCATATTTCAAGCTGGCATGTAACTTTTCATCTTCAGCAGGTTTGTCTAGGTTATGATTGCAGTGAAACAGAAATCCCTTCATAAGAATACCCAGGGGCTTTGTTAGTCTCTAAATAAGTCACATGACTTCCTTTTCAAGATGAAATGCTACTGAATTGTGAGTGTACTATCTAGAAACTGTTCCCAATAAAAAGTCTTTTAGAAGCTTATAGTGTAAAGTAGAAATTACCTCTTCATGAAAGTGGTGACCTCAGCACATCCATGCACCTTCTAAAAGAAACAGTGGCAGCAGTGACAAGGCTTGGAGGATGAGAATGACTATTCTGTTCTTTTTTAAAATTTAAATTAGAAACAAGCTTGCTTGACATGTCAATCCCAGCTCCCTCACCCTCCCCTCCTACTCAGCCCCACATGTGCTTTTTTTTAAAACCATGAACTAATGATCATTAATTGATGAACCATGCTTAAAATACTTGAGTTTCTCAGTGTAGCGATTCAAGAGTAGTAATGCTTCTGGGAAGATTACAAATCACTGGAGAAATCACTCTAGTTATCCCTTTAAAGGCTACTTCAGCATTAAGTTGTATAAGTGATTCTGCTGAAGTCTGTGGGGTTTGTAACTCTATGTAAGATTTCCCTAGACTAGAAAAAGAAAAGATACAAAACCAAACAGTGAACATCACTGTGCTGAATACATAGAAAGAAGATGCCCATAGAGCTGGCATGTGTCCCTATCTGAGCATGGTATTTTCTTCTTTAAACTAAGTAAGAAAATGTGTAGTTGTTTATTACTGCTGTCTTACAAACCCTGTATGTAGATATCCTGATAAAATGTTCATCTCAGGTATGGAGAATATGTGAATTTTACTGCTATTCATACTTGAGCTCTAAGCAAGTTCTTTAAGTACTAACACCATGGTATTAGAAATGGGACAATTATACAATCTCATTTAATAAAAACCCTGATTAAGGGCTGAGAAAATGGCTCAGTGGTTAAGAGCACATACTTTTCTTGCAGAGGACCCAAGTTCAGTTCTTATCACCTACTTTAGACAGCTCACTACCAATTGTAACTCCAGCTCCAACACATCCAAGGCATCTGGTCCTCAGTTGCAATTACTCTCATATTTTCCCACAGACAGGGACACACATATTAAACAGCAACAACAAAACCAACACGTATGAAAAGGACATTTTGCCCAGTGAAACTTTTGTCTTTTTAGGAAATTATCAGATACTCCTTGGATGTCTGTGATGTTCTTATAGTGTGAGTGTTGCAGTCGCTCAGGCATAGCTATGTCAAATAGCCTCCTTTGCCCCTGGCCACGGCAGCCCCAAGAGAGGCTTATAGATGCACATTGAAATGTTGTTCCTATTAATAATTGAAGAGGAGTGGGGATTGATATAGATGAAAGTTTCTGTCCTTTAGTTCTAAATAAATACCCAGAGGCTTATATTAAGTATAAACTGTTTGGTCTGTGGCCCAGGCTTGTTATTGGTTAGCTCTCTCTTCATTTTTAACCCATTTCTATTAATCTGTGTATCTCCACATGGCCTTGGCTTACCTGGTAATGCCCAGACCTCTTGCTTTCTTAGCAGCAACATGGTGTGTCCTTGAGACTCTCTGTCTCTGTTCCTCTTCCCAGTATTCTCCTAGTCTGCCTGGCTATATCCTGCCTGTCTATTGGCTGAACCGGTTTTATTCATTAACAATAAGAGAAATACATAATCACAGCATACAGAAGGCCATCCCCCATCAGCCTGATATAAGTGGTCCTTCACACAGGTGCAGGTAAGATAGGCCTTGGAAGTGTGAATATTGTTTTAGTGCTCCAGTAATAGTCAGTGGCCATGTGAATAACAGGAATACATTCAATTGCTCTCTTATGTAAGTCACATTTATCTTCATTTTGTTTGAACCAGTGCTCTTAACTGGAGTGTGTATCATCTGGTCTGTCCTTCTGGCCTGCCTGACTAGCAGTGTAGTAGCAGTGACCTCTTCAGAGCATCTTGAGGAAATGTGCTAGAGGAAGTGAGGATAATATCTGCAGACTGCACAGAAAATGACTCCTGTTCCCACTAAACATAATATGACAGAAGGTTTTCTATGCCTAGTTCTTGTTACATTGACTTCTGCCCTGTACCAAAGCAGGTGTCAACAACAGATGTGGGCACCAGAGTGACACTGAAGTTTTACTTTCTGGCCAATCAGCCCGAGTAGTAGCCTGTTGCAGCATCAACAACCTATTTTCTGGATGATGTTCTTTAAGTGTTGACATGTTACCAACTTAACATAGATATTTCTTTCTGAGGCTGGATCTCACTATGTAAACTTGGCTGGCTCTGGATCTGCTTGCCTCTATCTGTGAGTGCTGAGAATAAAGCTATGTACCATCATGTCTGGCAGCTTAGTGTACCCCCCTTTTCTTTTCTTTCTTTTTTTTGGGGGGGGAGGACTGGGTTTCTCTGTTTAGCTTTGTATCCTGTCCTGGAAGTCACTTTATAGGCCAGGCTGGCCTCAAACTCACAGAGATCCACTTGCCTTTGCCTCTAGAGTGCTGGGATTAAAGGCATGCACCACCACTGACTGAGCAGCTTAGTGTGTTTTTAGGCTTCTCCGGTCCTAACTGGATAGTATACAACAGTTTTAAAGTGCTTTGTTTAGAGCATTTGTTTTGTTTAGTTTTGTTTTCAAAATCAGACTCATTGTGTAGCTTAGGCCTGCCTCAAACTCAAAATACTCTTGCCTCAGCCCCCCAATGCAAGGATTATAGGCATGTACAGCTATTCCCTGCTACAGGAATCTGTTTATTGTTACGAGAAGCTTTTTCTTTGCTAGCCGCTTTGGTTTATCCCCCACCAGTCACCTGGGCTCTGCAGCTTTGTAGTCCCCAAATAAACACACAAGACGCTGTATTAATTATGAAGCTGTTGGCCTTGCTTGTTTCTTACTGGCTAACTCTGACTTAAGTAATTACCCCATAATTGTTAATCTAAGTATGTCTCTTACCGGAGAATAGTTCCAGGCTTCCTACCCCCATGGCGTTACATGTTGACTCCCTTGTGTTTCTCCTTCCTAGAATCCTCCTGGACTCCTAGCCCCACCTATCTAGATTCCTATAGGCTCAACAGTACTTTATTGGCAAATAACAGGCAAATAACAGGACTTCCCCAACAATTTATGATTACAACATTTATTTTTTTAGTTTAATATTAGGCTTTACTTTAGTCTTTTTTTAGTGTTTAGGAAAATACGCACTGTTTCTATGTATCAGACATTGAGTGCTGGGATTAAAGGCATGCACCAGCACTGCCCAGATACTTTGGGTAATTTTATCTTTTAACTTTGCCTCCCCTTGGTGAGAAGAGGCAGCTGAGTGTCTGGATATGACCTACTTCAGACAGGAGGTTCAGGGAACTGTGAGGACCTATCACTGAACTCCACATGGTGACTGTTGGCTCTGTTTGAAAGGTTTATACTGATCATGTTACTGGATGGTTCAGCCTCAGATGAAGAGGTGCACATTCCTCAGTTGTCAGCCCAGAGTCAGCTACAGTTTCATTGGTCCTTTCTCAATAAAGCTGTGAATCTTGTTAGATGTCATCTGTGTGATTTTACATTAGAATGGAGATTTCAAAGTAAACAGTTTTGACTGTGAAAAACCTCAAGTGGAAAAATATAAGTATTTTGATTTTTTTAAATTTTTTGGTTTTTCAAGACAGGGTTTCTCTGTATTTTTTTGGAGTCTGTCCTGGAACTTGCTCTGTAGACCAGGCTTGGTCTCGAACTCACAGAGATCCACCTGCCTCTGCCTCCCGAGTGCTGGGATTAAAGGCGTGCGCCACCACCACCCAGAAAGTATTTTGATTTTTATCTCATCAAAATTAGAACAGATAGACTACTCATCTGACTTACTGTTCACATTTGAGTAGAACACTTGAATGTTCACCACACTAACATATGAGTGCTTACATCTATAACCTCAGTACTTGGGGATGCTAAAGTAAGAAGTAGACTGTCAGTTCAAGGCCAGCCTGAGCTAGAGACTTGCCTCAAAACAAAAACAAACAGACAAAAAAAACCTGTAAGTATATCAGGCAGTGGTAGTATATGCTTTTAATCCCAGCACTTTGGAGGCAGAGGCAGGTGGATTTCTGTGAGTTCCAAGACAGGTTGGTCTATAGAGTGAGTTCCAGGACAGCCAGGACTATACAGAGAACCCTTATATGGGAAGCCTCATCAACAACAACCACAACAAAAACAAACCTGTAACTAGAGCTCTTTCACTGTCGTCTCTCCAGACTTACTCTCTTGTTCCTACAGAAGCCAACATGCAGAACCTCTCTTCCCACCCTACCTCCATTTCCTGGAGATTCTGAGTCTTGGTGCAGATCCAGGGTCCCCTTAGCTCTTTTTGAATGATCCTCTCAGCCTTCCTGTATAGCCTTTTCTATTCCCTTGTGTTAGCTGCTGATCCAAAGAACATTTTCTACCAGGGAACTCAGTGACCATACAGGTCCTATGCACAGGTAGGCAATTTTCACTACCATTCCTGTTCTCCATTTCTGTCACTACAGAATTAACTCTTAGCACTGTAGCAGCCTACTTGTGGGAACTTTTCTTCCTATCCTACTTTCACTCACTGGGGACTCTGCCTTTGGTGCAAACCCTTGAACCATAATTCTTTCCTGTTGATGCTCTCAGGCTTTCCTCCTAGCCCATCTCTATCCCTTGTGTCACCCACTGACCTGCAGAAGCACTCTAACTGGGAATCCTACAGCAGTGGGCAACAGCAACTAAAGAACAGAATACCTACCCAACAAAGACAAAAACCAGATATTTACCCCCAAAACAACTCAAATATCATAACTCCAGATACTAGATCATAGCACAAAAACATACACAAGAACAGTCAAGACAATATTCCTCCTCCAGAAGTCAGTAACCCTATTGTAATAGACCCTGAGAAATCAAACTTAGTTGGACCATCAGATATAACTTCAAAATAACAATTATGAATATGTTCAAGGACCTTAAAAGGAGAGGATATGAATAAATGCCTTAATGAAGACCATGAAAACACAAATGAACAATTGAATGAAATGATAAACACTTTAAATCATGAAAATAGAAGTAAAATCACTAAAGAAAACACAAATTGAAATTAAACTGAAAATGAAAAGCCCTGGCTGTCAAACAAAAATCTCAGAGGTAAATCTCACCAACAGATTAAAAGATGTGGAAGAGAGAATTTCAGGTCTTGAAGAAAAGGTAGAAGAAATAAATAGTTCAGTCAAAGAAAATATGATCCAAAAATAAGGCACAAAACAGCCATAAAATCTGGGACTCTTTGAAAAGACAAAGCCTATGAATAATAGGTATAGAGGAAGGGGAAGAAACCCAAGTCAAAGGCATAGAAAATATTTGTTAACAAAATCATAGAAGAAAATTTCTCCAGTCTAATGAAGGAGGTACTGATCAAGATACAAGAAACACACAGAACAATGAATAAACAGGAACAAAAATAAATTATCCCCAACACATAATAATCAAAACACTAAATTTACACAAAAGAAAGGATATTAAAAGCTGCAGAGAGCCAGCGGTGGTGGCACATGCCTTTAATCCCACCATTCAGGAGAAAGAGGCAGGCAGATCTCTGGGAGTTCAAGACCAGCCTGGTCTACAAGAGCTAGTTCCAGGACAGCTTCCAAAGCCACAGAGAAACTCTGTCTCGAACTCTCCCCCCAAAAAAGCTGCAGAAGAAAAAGACCAAAGCACATATAAAGGCAGGCCCATTAGAATAACATCTGACTTCAGTGGAGACTCTGAAAGCCAGAAAGACTTGAACATGTATTCTACAAACTCTGACAGAACACAAATGCCCAGACTACTTCAACACCCCCTACCACCCATCAATTACAATCAATGAAGAAAGAAATTGTTCCATGGAAAAGTTAAGTAAGTAATATACCAATCCAGCTCTCTATAGAAGGCACTAGAAGGAAAACTTCAGTCTAAAGAGGTAACCTACATATACCAAGAAGACAAAAGGGATAAACAATCCCAGAAGAGTAAATAAAAATGGGGGTACACTATAACAACAAAATAATAGGAATCAATAAACACTTCTCATTAAATACTCTCAATATTAATAGTCTCATTCCCCCAATATGGAGACTAAGAGATTGGATTAGAGAACAGAATCCATTCTTCTGCTGTATCTTAGAAACACCTCACCATCAAGTATAGACATTACCTTAGATTAAAAGGATAGAAAAGTATTCCAAGCAAATCAACCCAAAAAAGCAAGCAGGTATAACCAGTTTAATATCTGACAAAATAAGACAAAGAGATAGGGAAAGATATTACATACTCATCAAAAAAATCACCAAGAGGTTATTATAATTGTAAACATTTATGTTTGGAACTCAAGAAGATCCAAGTTTGTGATGATGTTTTGTTTATGTTTAACAAATAAAGCTTGCCTAAAGATCAGAGTGCAAAGCTAGCCATATTATCTAGCCATAGAGGCCAGGCAGTGGTGGCACACACCTTTAATCTCAGCACTAGGGAGACAGAGGCAGATGCATCTCTGTTAGTTTTCAAGGCCATCCTGAGCTACATGAAATTGATCCAGTTTAAAAGAGAAACAGAGCTCACACAAAGTTGATCTCAGCTATTGGGATCCCACACCTTTAATCCCAGCACTAGAGAGGAATATAAGATGGAAGGAAACAGGAGTTCAGAGCCATCTGAGGTTCAGTGGATGGCTCCTTTGTTCTGGGCATTGGTAGAAGTGCGAACTCTATAGTAGCTGGCCACTTTGCTTCTCTGATCTTCAGGAAAGCTTTATTTGTTATATCATAAACACAATATCACCACACAAATTCATGAAAAAAACACCATTAAAGCTAAAATCACATATTGACCCTCACAAATGAAGTGGGTGACTTCAGTACCTCACTCCCACCAATATACAGGTCATCCAGACAAAAACTAAAAAGTAATGCTGGAGCTGGAGCTAAATTATTTAGCTGGAGCTAAATAATGCCATAAATCAAATCGACCTCGTAGATATCTACAGAACATTACACTCAACCACTAAAGAATACACTTCTCATTAGCTCATGGAACTTTATCCAAAATTGACCACATACTGGGACACGATGCAAGTCTTGACAGTAAGAAAATCAAAATAACACTCTGCATCCTATCTGACCATCATGGATTAAAGCTGGATATCAACAACAACAAAAACAGCAGATAGTATTATTTGAACTTGTGGAAACTGAACAACTCACTACCAAATGAAAAGTGAGTTAGGACACAAATCAAGAAGGAAATTAAAAACTTTTTAGAACTGAAAAAAATTGAAAACACAACATGCCCAAAC